TTTCTTTTTTTTCCCCCTCTATTTTAAGCTAGAAGATGTGTAATTCATCAGGAATCTGTACATGTTTAAGTAGCTTCAAAAAATACGACGCTGATGTGAGACTGACCTACTGTGTCTTGACTTCTATGTCCATTTTTTCCCCACTACATAATGTTCTGTACCTTTCCCTCTCTGTCTCATTCCCTCATTCACACATTCTTTCCCCTGTTGGTTTCCAGCCATCTTTGCTTTGTCAGTGTTACCTGATAACACAAAGCAGGGTTTAAGGCAGTTGTTGTGGCTCAGCTGGAGCCGGATACTGCAGGGAGTGGGGGAGCCATGTGGGGGCTGCTTGGTGCTACCAAAGGGGTCAGTCTTGTCTTTGCTGTTCCCAGCAGGGCTTTAGGTGTACTTCATCACCCACACATGTGATATTCTTAGGTTAGAATTCTCAAATCCAAATGATAAAATGTCACTGTAATTGACATTGTTTAGCACACCCCCTGAAGTTGTCCAAGTATATAAAAATTACTCATTTGGATGCAGCAGACACTAAGTGTCTGAGTTGTTCTAAAACATTTGAATGTGCTGCAAGCTCCGTGTCACCAGAGAGCCTTTGTGCATAGTAAATTGGAGCTATGTGATGCCATTGTGCAGTTCGAGGATGGTTTGCCTGCAAGAATGCTGGGCTTCATTTTCTTTGGCTGGTCCTTTCTGATAGCAGAAGAATAAAGGAAAACATTTTAAATATAAGAGAAATCCCAGGAAATTCTGTTCTTAAATGCTTTTGAAATAGTCAAAATATTGCCTTGGCAGTATTTTGACTTTGGGCTTCCGAGACTCATTTCCATCTCTGCTAAAATGGGACAGAAGGCTACCTTGCAAGAGAGTTGTCAGGATCAGCCAGTTAATAATTACGAAGAAATTTCATGGTGAAAAAATGATGCAGGGTATATTATTAATAATGATGTGAGTCCTGAAAAATACCATGCTGTATCACAAAGCTGGTATTGTCTGGTGTCTACACTCTTGGCACTATGCCCTATAGTAAACTGTATACTGAAAACTCATAGTAATGGAAAGGTATACAGAATTCCATTGGTAGGTGATTTATAGTGACTTCCTATTATAAACAAGAGGGAACAAATATCCTGCCTTGCTGGTTTCTTTGGGCAGATGTTGAGAGCAGAATGAGACATTCTTGGCCAGGCAAGAGCTGATTCCCTGGATGCTTACAACTGGGAGCAGAATGAAGTCCCAGAAAGTGAGGTTTAAATGACAATCCCTAATTTTAAATGAGTTTCCATTTTCAGTGTTTAAAGCTTTCTGGCTGCAGAGCAAATGACCACAGTTTTAAATGATTTCCAAACCTGTAGCAAAAAGGTATTTCTGATGTTTAATATTAAATAGATTTGTTGTAGGATCTCAATATATGTTGAAAGCTACCACCATCCTTTGACATGAAGCATAATTCTTTCTGAGACACTAAAAAGCACCTTCAGCAACACCTTCTTCTGGTTTCAATTACTAAATATGCTATTGAACACTACTGTTGTTTGTTTAGTAAAATCATTTGTGCTGGCCACTTGTATGCTGTTAAAATGTATTTATGTCTGTATGTAGTAGGGTAAACATAATTTTTAACCTATCAAATGAGTCTTGGGAACAGTGTGGAACGCAATAATTCATCAGTGCTGGCTTTCCCAGGAGTCACTTGACACACTGATCTAAGCTTGACAAGTCTGTAGGGGTTTAAATTTGTGTGACAGCTTGCCTTGGTCTCACTAGTGAGAGAGCCAGACTCTTTAGGAAGAGACCAGAGGTGCTGCCACCAAAGGTGTGTGAGATTAAAGGTAACCACAGTGCTTGGAGAGCTCTGGTGCAACCTTGGTACCTCAAGGTTGGTAAAGTACTGCTTTTCATGTACTAGAGAGAGGGTCATGAGTGGAGAGCCCGTCAGCACTTGCTCTGGGGTGAGTCCTCAGCTGAGGCTACTTGTTGAGATTCTGGATACTCCATCGTTTTATCATTCCTTTCATCAGCATTTCCAGAGAGGTTACCCAGCCCCAGTGCCATTTCCTTCTTGCCTCAAAGATGAAATCTAGGAACATGTTGTATGATGGTCAAGAAAATGAGCACTCTCCATTTTGAGAATGCAGTTCTTCGATTATTTTCATGGCACAATCTCCAAAATGTTGCTTTTACAATTGAAATATACTTTGCAATTCTTGCGCAGATACCTCAAATATCAAAAGCTTCAATTATTGAAATCTTTATTTGGTAGTTGAAGGCAGAGCAGATAGATTATAAAAGATTAAGAAAAAGAAAAATATTGGGTAAGACTCACCATTTTTTGGCCTTTTTAAAATACGTTTGATAACATTTTGTCATCTATGTTTTTTTCTCTGGTCAGTGAATAGCCAGACATGACCAGCCTGCATTTCTTCCAGGCTGAGGTAAGCCATTAAGGCTGTACTTATACTAGCAGTGTACTAATGTCTCTGTATATAAAAATAGATATGAATCATTGATATACTGAATAGCCAAAGGAGAGATATGCTCCTCCCCCCATCCAGCTGTCAGCATATCCACATGGATGATAATACTGTCCAAAGGACAAGAGTCTGAGGAAGGGGCCACAGAACAGGACTTAGGAATTTGGCTTTGCAGCAGCACTCAAGGACATTGGGCTGCAGTGTTAAATAGAATGGCTGAATCCATTTCTTGGAGGACATCTCTGTTATTTATGAGTGGAGCCTGTACAAGTAAAGATATAAAGATGCATGACTTAGATGGCAGTTTCATGGCATGTGAAGTGAACCCCACTTTTGCTTTGATTGACATCAAGTTGGTTTGACTGGCAAGATGTCAAGGAGAGCATAAGGAAAGGTTTTTGTCTCTCTCACAGTGGTTATCCCTAACAAAAAAAAAATTAAAAATGGTAATACTTCCTTTGCTAAGGGCTGTTCAGACACAGGGGAGCTGCTTGGATGCTGTGGTAGAGCAGACTGGTATATGCTGTCAGAGGTTTGGTATAACAGAAAAGGATTTTTGGCAAGAAAAAGGGGGCCTGTTCTTTGAAATGATAAATTTTCAGACTTCATTGTACTAACATGCTTTGAGAGCAGTTATTAGCCAGAGCTTTGCAAATTATCAGTGATGGTTTTATTTTAACCCAGTTTTGAGTTTCTTTGACTTAAATAATTTGTTTGAAAGAACCATAAAATCCAAACAGAATAAGAACATATGTGTGATTCAGGAAAAATCTTCAGCAAAGTTAAAGAATAGGCAGCTCTTTCCGCCTGGATTTTATTTTTTAGTTTTGCTACTGCTTTTATATACCATGGTCAAGATGCTTTCTTTTAGAGCTGGCTAAACACCAGTGAAAAATATTTGCAAATACTCCTTCAAATAAACGCTGGAATTGGAATGTGTGTCACCATTCACACCTACTTCCCTCAGAAGTTTGTACAAGCAATTTTTTTGTTCATAGGAAATATTTTCCAACAGCAAAAGAAACTGACAGATGCTTGAGAGAGGTGTATTTATATCCAGGTTTGCTCTGGCAATGATGTTCTCTATTACTTGCCATTTCCATTTCTATACCTACTGACCTATTCAGTCCTAAAGCTCGTCTTGAAAACTGTCTCTAATTAAAAAAACAACAACAATGAAACAGGGCTGAAGAATTCTTCATAGCCAAGTACAGCTTAAAAAAGGAGACTTTGTGTGTCATCCAGTACCTCTTTCTTGATCAAATGTTTCTTTTTACCTTGGTTCCTTGTCCTCTGCATACACTGGTCTTCACCCTCTTGAATCCCATTCAAGCATTGTTCTAGGAGATCTTAAAAGATACTGATTCAAGCTGTGCACTTTTGGAAGAAAACTTAAATCTTGGTCACCTGTGAACATTTATTTATAAAGCTGTTTTGCAAAAGGATGGAGACCTGCCAGATCAAACAGTTTGGCAAACAGCTGATCTCTGAATTGCAGCTGGTCTCCCTGCCGTTCTTTAGTGGGGCTGTAGTCTCTAGCAGTCACCTCCAAGTATGGGCAGTGCAGCTGAGCTGAATTATTGGCTGTAGGAGACAATGGACTGCTGGCTGTGGTTGCTCCTGAGGGGAGGGCTACCAAGGGTTATTCTACTGGAAGCTCTGTTTAAAGACAAGGTCAAGTTTTAATTCATAATCTGATGGAAATCTAGCAGTAAGGTTGATTTGTATTTGGGAATCTGGCCTCGCAAAGACCTACAGTACTTTATGGGATTTATGTTGTGTTTAGAGACTTTTTGGGTCTCTTTTAGACATTAGTGCTCATGCCGTTGCTGTTTCTTTGGATTGACTTGTTTTCCATAGATATTGCACCTTGGCATCAGCTTCTTACTCCTCCATAATGTATTTCTGTGTCAGCATAGCAAACCCACTGAATAAAGCTTATACATTTCTGCCTGGTAAATATTTCTGGCTTCTCTGGGATGTGAGGACTTAGTGAATGAACAAATATGACTCTTGATGGGGAAATATAGTTTATGCCTGTGATGCAGTGTCATCTCTGAGGGCTGTTAACCAGGTGTGCTTGTTACTTGTGTCCCTCTCAGCTGCCTCTGTGACGGAGCACTGCCTGGGCAAGGGGCGCAGTAGAACCCACACACATCATGTGTGCATGGGTGGGAGTCCTATTTTTAGTGCATACTAGAAGGCATTCACTGAAAAGCAATTTTTAGGTTTTGCAATTCCTTATGTCTGTGGTATTCAAAACATAAATATGTTTTGAAGAACTCCTCTATTACCCTGCAAAATATAGGTGAACCTTCAAGAACAGCTACACCTTCAGTGTAGTTTTCTCCAGGAAGATGCCTGCATGAAGCTAGTCCTTTATGTGTTTCAAAGCAAAGATTTTATTTTAGATCTGGTATCAATTTTGGAATAAATCTTGGGTTATTTTTCAATATGTCTATTCCCTGAACATGCTTGTTTTTAAAACTATTAAAATAAAATAGCCTTTTTTTTTCCTGTTTTCAGAAAATCTGGAGAATGGACCAAATAAGTGTGAAAGGTGAGTAAGGGACTTCAAAGTTTTCCGAAACTACTTTTGTTATTACAACAACTACTGTTGTTATTATTACAGTTTTCCTGATAGCTGTGTAAGATGTGTGTGTAAATATTTGTTGTTGCTTGAATCTAGCACAGCTAACAGAAAGGGACCCAGCAAAGATGAGACGTACTGGAAGGAGATCAACGCAGCTATGGCCCTAACGAACCTTGCCCAGGGGAAGGATAAACTGCAGGGAACTACCAGCTGCATCATCCAGAAATCATCACATATATCAGAAGTAAAGACTGTGAAAGTGCCATTAGTTCAGCAGTTTTGAGGGATGGGTCCTCTTGTTTTTTCACGTCAAACAGACATTTTCCTCACAGGATTGGTTTTCAGCAAAATCAGATTCACAGACAGGAGGAAAATGTGCAAAATAGGTCCCCTTTTACAGAATGGTCAGTTAAAAAAATTAAGGTTCCTTCTGACTCAGATGTTTTCATTGTATTAAATAAAATGTTCAACTGCTTCTATAAAAGGCATGTAAATTATAAAAACCCTGTTTTTATCAAAACATTAACTTATTTTATGTTACTCAAAGTGCGCATAAGATGTTTGCATTGCTATTACAGTAAGTGCCTTGCTTTGAAAAAATAAGCTATAACGTGGGCATAGTACAACAGTGTTATGCCTCAAAATGACAATGCCATAATGCTTATACTTTGTATATTATTCCAAGTGGGCTTAAGCAGCCGAGGGCTAAACACATTACTGCTGAAGGCCCTGGAGAGTTGTGCTTATTTGACTTGTACAAACTGACGAGTCTTAATGAAATTGTTACATCATTCTCACTCTCTTTTTTTTAATCAACAGTGTTATAAAAATTGTACAGTATGTTTTGTCAAAGTGAAGTTAAGGTTGTTATGCATGTTTCTTACCTGTATATGCAGTATATTAAAATACCAAAATCATTCCTTTGAAAAGTGCAATACTCTAGAACACACAAATTTAGGAAATAAGTTAATTGTTCAGATTATTTTGAACTTATACATATGCTCTCAGCTGTGTTGCTCATTAAAGATTCGTAGTTGAGAAGGTTTTAGTCAGACTAGTTGTAAATTCAAGTTGAATTTCTATAATTTTAAGCTTTACTAGTGACTTACTGAAGTTTTGATAGAAGTAAAATTGGTTTCTTCTTGTACAAAACAAAAACTATAATGCCATTCAGAAATGTTTCCATGGTGGAACTTATTACTTTAATGTGGTTTAAACATTTTTATTTTGTATGTACTGCATAAATGACGACAGTTGATTGACATCTCACATTTCAGTAAGAAAAGCCTATAATATAAATTATCAAAGCCCAAACAAGAATCACAAAAGGAACTGAAACATTGAAGATGTTTCAGCATTTAAGGCGGGAGGGTTTTAAGAAGATACTAAACCATGTATTAAATGTCATGTCTCTAAAATTGACTGCTATTGAGTGTAATAACTATCATAAAACAAGGTTTATTTTTAAATTTTATCTGGAGGTGTACAAGTTATTCTGAAGTCATATAACAATAGTCTAATGAGGTTTACAGTGCTTGAATAAACAGTGGCAAAGCCAAAACCAATTTATACAGAATCCGTTACAGAAAACTGGAAAAGAGCTGATTGTTGCTAGGATTTGGATTTTTTCCTGTGGGTATCCTGTCAGGTTTTTTCCTACTTATCCCTTTCCTTGCTTCTCTTTATGGTGAGCCATCAATGAACAAGACAAGACTTTAGTTCTGCTCCTGCTGAGTTTAATGGCAGAACTCCCACATCAATGGAAGCAGGACTATGCTAATGATGTAACTAACTTGCAAATAGAGGCTGTTTCAGTTGCACTAAAATAGTCAAGACACATTGCAAATATCAGCCTTGGTGTGACTTCTTAGGAAACTTCTTGATGTAACATAACGTTGTTGGTTTTATTTAGTGTACAATGAAAATTATTTGATATGAAAATATTTTGTACATATATATTTTTACTTTGTTTTCTAAATTGCTGATTTGCATTGACTTAAAGTGCCAAGCAAGAAATGTATGTTGTGACTGTATGAACAGTTGAAGTATGTTTTACTGACTTGCATCATTATATGTCTAAGATTCCATGACATTAATTTTTAATACTTTACTGGATTTTGGCATAATAATGTGAGTTTATAACTAATAGCAGAGAGTTAATACTTCACTTTTGTTCATACTATTATAAGTTATTCTGGTATTAAATATTTTGTGACAATAAATTCATGGTTTTGACAAACTCTTCTGTTAGGAATATTCAGTGTTTTTGTCTGTATAAACAACAAAATTTGTCATGTAAAAAGGGTACTTCTGGGGACTCCTCTGAAGTAAAACTGGAGAAGGCAAGCCATTGTATAAACAACTTGTTAATGGTTCTCTTTTCCAATGATCAAAGCACAAGAATAATCTGTAAAACACATCAAGTGGGTTTTAAATTTAAGAAATACTTGGCCTAATTTCTTGTTACTGTTTTCTTTAATTTATTTTTTTTCTACTGCTGCTTTAGAGTTTTCTGAAAACACAAATTCTGATGAATTATGTGTGTGTCTTTTTTAAATAACAAAAGTCATGATCAGTGCTGAGCCAACAGCTAATGAAAACTCAGTAATTATTTATGATATTGGAAAAACAAACATTATTACTATTGCTCTTCCTTGTTTCAACATATGTAACCATTTTAGTAAAATAAATAACTGCAAACAACATCTTGCTGGTTTGAATTAAATATTCATTTATCTGTCCTTAGGCATTTGCATTTCTGGTTTCCTGTAATAGTCAGGGTTTCCCTGTACTGGGACACAAGCATGTGACAGGCTAGGACAAAACAGGAAAGTTAGTCTGATCAGTACACCTTGTGGTACGTAGTTGTGTCACGTAGTTTAGCTCATCCCTGATGAAAATGACTGCAACAAGGCTCAAGTAATGACTAATGACAACATGGCAGGATGCTAGAAAATGCTGGAGAAGGAGATGCAGTCAGCCCAGCCAGAAGCTCAGTGCTCATAGTAGAGAGCCCAGTGCAAGTGATCTCAACTTTTGTGCCTCAGCAAAGCTGATCCACTTGCATGGGAGGGGTGGTAGCTAAGATTTGCTGGGCAATCAGCAATTTCAGTTTTTATGTCCTGCTGATCTGTGATAAGCATGTACTGCTGCAATGCTTCTGGCCATCCAACATGTCAGTGGAGATCTGGATGTTAAGCTGATACGTGAGTTCCTGAGGGAGTATGTACAGCCTGACTTTTGATGTTGGGAATGTGTAAAAACACCCACATCTTAATGATGCTGAGCTACTTGGCACCTACTTTGTACCTGAGTCTGACATTAAGACACCAACTCAATCTGCTCCCACCTACTCTGTCACATCATTTGCCAGAGCTGAGCACTCCAAACTCTTATAAACCACTGAGTCAGGGGAGCTCAAATTTTCAATTCAGTAGTTAGAATATATATTTGCCTCAGGATTGCAGACTCCTCTCCTAGCACCACACAACTGCTGCAACCACTGAGCTGGCTGGCTTTGTAGCCTCATATCCTCCACTGGTAACCTAATGCATAATTATGTATGCCAGGTGAAGCATTCCACCAAGGAGACTGAGAGCAAGTCCCAGGACAACACATAGACCATTTTGAAGACTTTTGATAACTTGGTTGCTTAAGTTTTAACTTGGAGTTTGGCTAAGGATGGCAGCTAGACTTGGGTACCCACACACAAGTGCGTGAAGTAGCTGCTGTACTATCAGCTAGAAGGAGAAGGTGGGAAAGGAGGTTGGTAACATGTCTGTACTGTGAAAGGAAAAATGGATTTAGCTTTAGCTATGGAAAAGGCTGTGTGGGCTTAAACCCATTTCTTTATTATTACCTTACTCAGATACATTCTCATTATGTTCTCTATCTTTGATGAATTATGTTTTTATCTATGTAAATTATCCATCAGTGGAGATCAACAACACCAAATGTGAGATGCTATTACAGGAAGCAGCTTTGATTATAAAAATAATCATGATCTTCTGGAATTCACTGTACTTTTAATGGTCAGAAAGTCCTTTTACCCTGCGTGTCATCCCCAGCAACAGGAGACAGCGTAGGAATTGTTCTGCATTAGTCAAAAGGGCCCCTGCACCAGGGAAAGGCCTTGGTGGCTGCCCTGGGGGATGCTCTGAAATGCCAGGGAACTGCATTCTCTCCCTGATTCATGACAGTGAGTGGTGAATGAGGAATCACTGGCATGAGGAGTCACTCAGGGCCAGTCAGGGACCATGTCAGTGGGGCACAATTCACCTTGCCTACTAAGGCCCTGCCAAGTAGCGGGACTGCAGCCACCAAGCTCAGATCGTCCTTCAGGAGTCTTTCCAGAGGCTTTCAGGTTCCATCGTGCCTCTGTAGCTTTCAGTCTTGCAGAAGTCCTGGGCCATATTCTTCACATGGCTTCTAGGAGCTGGAGAAGATGGCTTTATCTGCTGGTGAATCCCCTGTGTGGGGTTGAAGATGAGAATAAATGTGTTAGGCATCCAACTCTCCAAAACTGAAGAAAAACTTTTATAAATTTGGCTCCACCAGGGCTATACAAGTCTTATTCATAATTTCTGCATTCAAAAGAATACTGAGGACCTTGAAGCAGCCCTGGCAGAGCCATGATCCCAGTACTGCCAGGAGAGAAAACAGAACAGCAAAGCTTGCCACTGCTCCTGGCATTGCCTCAGATGTCCTCTTGCTGTGTGGCAAAGGGAAGGGTGCAGCTGTTTCTATCATGTTTGACTTTCACCAAATCACAGAATCATGGAATAAGCTAAGTTGGAAGGGACCCAAAAGGATCATGTCCAGATCCCATCCCTGCACAGCACCATTCTCAAGAATCACCATCTGCTCAAAAGCATTGTCCAAACACTTCTGAACTGTCAGACTTCATGCTCTGACCACATGACTGTGTTGTCTTTCAGGTGTTTTTCAATACTTCCCAGAATAATTTCCATAACTTTATCAAGCACTAAAGTGAGAATGACAGGGCTGCAGTTTCTGGGGTCCTCCTTCTTGCTCTTCTTGAAAACTGGGATGTTTGCCAGCTTCCAATCATCTAGGACCTCTCCAGATCCCCAGGACTGCTCAAAAATCATCAAGAGAGGTTTTGCAATGACACCAGCCAGCTCTCTGGGGATTCTTGAACGATTCCTATCAGATCCCATAGATTTCTACAGATCCAGCTTGGGAAGCAAATCCTGCATAGTTTCAGGGTTGAATGGAAACTGATCACTGGCAAACAGGGTCTTCCAGCTCAGGGCATTGAGGACCCCTTGGTCCATCATCTATTTTGAAGATAGAGGCAAAGAATGCATTAAACACCTCTGCCATGTCCATATCCCTCCCTGTTTGTGAGGTGAACATCTTCATCCTATAATGGGTCAAAGTTGTTTTTGCACTGCCTATTACCATATTATTTCAAAAAAAACCTTTAGTGTCCCCCACATTTCTGGCCAAATTAAATTATTTTCTCACACAAATGCACTTTTCCTGCTGTGAACCCCCATATTCTGCTCTGAAACCTTCAACACAAGTGTACTTCCATTCAGTCCCTGGTGTGCCCACACTTAAACCTGTGCCTGATTCTTGCAGGGAAATCCAGCCTGGACTTGGCACAGACTGAGAATACCAGACCCTCCAGTGTTCCACTGCAGTTCTGAAGTCCAGTTGGCACCAATTGGTCACAGTGGCAGCTTTAAGCATGACAGCCCCCTGTTCTCATTCCTGTGCTACTATGAATGATCTGTGAGACTCTTGGAGAATTAGAAAGAACCTCAAAGGGTTTCAGGCTCCTAACCTTACAAATCGAAACACTTCTGAAGGTCTGAGGGCCAAGTCACGTTTCCATGGCCAAGTGCAGGCGGTTGTGTGCCTCCTCCGATCCAGCTGGACAGAAACTTGGGTAGCCAGGTTTGACATCAAGCCTGAGCTGCTATACCAAGGTCCCCCAAAGACCATGAACTAGACTTAGTGTGGTGTATATGTCTGTGCAGCTTTGGGGTCATTGATTGTTCTGTGTCTTACAATGTCCACAAATTTCTCTGTGCTTTTGTGCAATATTTCAAAGAGGACAATAATACAGCTTTGTGTGGCTGAGCTGATGTTTGTAGGAGGACCTTGGTAATTGAAACCTGCTCTGATGACATCCCTATCCAGCCTAGTTAGTAGGGCAGGAAAGAAAGGTGAAGCATGATGCAAAGGGCTGAATTGCCTGGGAGCACTGCACTGACACACTGCAAGGGAGGCTCCAGGAATCTAGCCTTGATGCCAGTTCATGTTTTACGAGCTGATTTCCAAGTGCCCGGGTGTGCTTGATTCTCATTAGCAGCAAAATTGAGACTCAAACACACAGTTTTCACAGTGCTAGGTTGCTGAGCCAGTGTTTAGGTTTGGGCCCCATCTTGAAACTCCTCTTGTTTAACAAGAAGGGAGGTAGTTGGCTAAAATACGAGTACCCTGAGGGGGGAAAAAAAATGAAGAGGAAAAAAAAAAAAGAAGTGGAAAAGAGACACGAATGCCTAATGCAACAAAAAACCAAACCCAAACCTCCTTAATGTTGCTGTTATGTCAGCTTGGGTTATTGGCAGTGGAAGTGGTTATTGGCAGCGGAAGTTAGACCTGGCTCAAGGCTAATATAACTTGTGCACCTGACTTTTTAAAAGAAGCTGAGATCTGGTTTCTTTATGGATGAGCTTTTTTTCATTCATGGTATTGGTGCTTTCTCCAGATTTCCTTAAATTTCCTTTCAGTCTGCTTTGGACTTAATTGTCCTTCTATCTTTCCTCCTGCCTGAAAATTCTGGTTCATGCAGCCAGCAATGGGATCCTTCGTGCCAAAGGTCATTCTTCTGGTTTTGCAGTCATAGAGGTGGACAGTGTATGACTCAACAAGCTGGTTTGTCAATGATAAAGTTTGGTATCTCCCTTCTCACAGACCAGGGCCAATGAACATATGAAGTCTCAGGAGTGTGCAATAGAGGTTCTTCAACCAACAAGCTCACCATCTATCACTTCACTCCTAACTACTACTGCTTTTGGCTATCTTAACTCCCAAAAGGACTGTCAATTTAACCATAACTACCTAAGAACTGCCAAGTCTCATTTTATGAGCTGCTTTTGAGAGTTTAGCTATTTAAGGCTGATTTTAAACAATTTTTATTGGTACTTCGTGGCATGTGCCTGATTTACAGTGCTGTAAATAACCACAAATTAGGGACATTTCTTTCTTTACAGTAAAGTCCTGAGATGTCCCTCGCTGCTGTAGTAGGAGACAGCACTGCTGTTTTGTAAGTGGCACTCTCAGTTGGATGCACTTAAGGAGCTGTGGGTTTCTGATGGTAAAGGTAATTTAAAATTTCATGAGTCACATGTCCTG